ATAATTCAGAATCACTCACATCATTCAGATTTAATAGGCAATTGCTCCCACCTCATTGGAAGTAGATTGAGGAATAACCCACATTAGGGACAGCAAGACAAGGAAATTCAGATTCATTAAAAATAACATCCCTACTAATTATGGTTTTGTAACCAAATTCCCCTTTCAACCAAAGCCTATACCCCTTAACCCCATCGGGGTAACCTAAGAAAACACATTTCACGGAACGGGGTTCAAGTTTGTCACCTTTATGGTGAACAAAAGCAGCGCAACCAAAAACATGCAAGTTTGACAAATCTACTTTCTTACCACACCACACAGATTCAGGTAAGTCGCCATTTAATGGCACAGATGGAGAACGATTAATCAAATAAGTAGCAGTCAAAATTGCTTCACCCCAAAACAACTTTGGCAGTCCAGAACTAGTTAACATAGCCCTTACTCTTTCGAGAAGGGTTCTGTTCATTCGTTCGGCCACACCATTTTGTTGTGGGGTGTGCACAACAGATTTATGCCTCCTAATTCCAGATTCAGCACACAGATTATCGAATTCTAGGTTGCAAAACTCAGTTCCGTTATCTGTCCTAAGTGTTTTTATACGTTTACCTGTTTGATTTTCAATCAGCATTTTCCACGTTTTAAATTTATCAAAGACATCAGATTTTTGCTTTAACAGGAAAACAAACACTTTACGAGAATAATCATCAATAATAGACAGAAAATAACGGTTCCCACCATGTGTAGGAACACTGGCAGGACCCCACACATCAGCATGAATATATTCTAGGATTTCCGTGCATCTAGATGGATTGGGAGAAGGATTTTCAGGAAAAGGAACATGCGTTTGTTTACCTAAAATGCATGAATCACATAGAGTCACAGAAGACACTTTATCATTTCCAAAATACTGATTTTTATGCAATATACTAAGCCCTTTATTACTCATGTGACCTAGCCGTTTATGCCATAATTCAGATAAATCATTTTGGACAACATTCACAGATGCAGAAGATTCAGCAGAACAAACATACATATTTCCCATTCTCAAAGCCTTAAACAAATAACGGCTACCCTTCATAATATTCATGCAACCATCACCCCAATCCCCACGGAAACCATCATCTTCAAGTACAGCACACGAAATCAAATTATGACTTAAAGTAGGAACATGCCTCACGTTTTTCAAGGTTAACACATAGCCCGAAACAAATTTTAAGCATACAGTTCCAATACCATTCACAACTATTCTAGTGCCATCAGCTAAAGTAACACCACAGTTTTTCATTTGCACATAGTCAGAAAAAACTTCCCTACGTGGAGTCATATGATATGAACATGCAGAATCAAGAAGCCATTCATTCTCACTAAGAGAGGCTAACACAGAATTCACAGAAGCATGCATACCACTTAGCATAAAAACATCACCCATATTATCAGAAACTTGATTCACATTAGCAATTTTCTGATCTCTCCTAGGTTTAGGGCACACATTAGAAAAATGGTTCGGATCACCACAATTATAACACTTCCTAGGAGTATTTGGTTTCACATTATACTTTCCATTCCACTTGCCCTTTTTCTTGTTTTGAAAATTTGAAGAACTTTGAGCATTTTGATTGAAAGCCGGGTTTTTGTTTTGAAAACGATTTTGTTGCTTTCC